AGAAAAATGACAGCACACTTTGAACTTGATAATGTAATATGTGGAGCTTACTCAAAGATACTATCAATTATAACAGCTTTTAAATGTCAAATTCCTCATTCTTTAGGGTTCTTAACATGTGATCCAAGGTGCTTCTCTCAAAGTTTGAATCTGAAAATTGCTCTCTGATGTCCATCTAAGACAACTTCCATCAGAATAAAGCGTGGCCCAGTTATCTGTAAGTAGAATGTTACATTATCCCCACAGTTCAGCCAGCGCCTCCATTTTGACAAAGCCTGCAAAAATGTTGGGGTAATAAAGGCTTAGGATGTCATTTCCGTTGTTGGTTTTTTTTTAGTTTATTTATTTATTTTTGAGAGAGAGAGAGAGAGAGAACAGGGGAGGGGCAGAGAGAATGAATCCAAGCAGGCTCCGCACTATCGGCAAAGAGCCCGGCGCGGGGCTCGAACTCACAAACCGTGAGATCATGATCTGAGCTGAAACCAACAGCTGGATGCTTAAATGACTGAGCCACCCAGAAGCCCCTCATTCCTGTTCTTGAAGGGAGAAATTAGAAGACTTCAAAACCTTCACTACTCAAAGAAATTACTAACTAAAGGGGAAATTAGGTTAAAAAAAAAAAAGCTGTTTTTCAGTATCTCTTAAATCCCACCAAGATAGCATTTATCTAATCTGCACACATTCAGGTTGCCCCACATAGAGGAACATTAAGTATCCCAGTTACCCACTAAGATAGGCATTTGCTTTATGTCCAGCATGTGTGTGGTTTCATCAGAAGTTGAAAGCTTTATAAATGAATTTGTAAGAAAAACAATTTGTGCGGCAGACGGGGCTCCAAGATAACAAGTGTTAAACCTGAAACCCCGTTGCAATCCCTCAGTTAGACAATAAGTATTTAGGAAGCTGCTGTAGTCCAAGCACTGTCCCAGGTGCTGGGAAGATGATGATGAAAAAGATCAATTTGGTCCCTGTCCTCAGGGGACTTAAGACCTGGAAGGATTACAGCCATTAGGCAAATAATTACACAAATAACTCTGAAATTGAATTTTGATGTCCTAGCCTATTTCCAGACTTTCTCACAGTGTTCGCTGTTTCCTGTGTATCAGCTTTGCAGCCTTGAAACTCCTTCAGACGGAGACTATAGTCTGTATTTATTCTGACTCCACGATCCACCGCAGGGCCTGGCCATGTCAGAGAAAGGGAGAAAGCAACAGCTTTTGTTACTGCTGCTGAATGAACAGGGCCATCCAAAGGAGGACACCTCTTGAAAACATGTTGAAACCCATTTATCAGCCCTCTGACCATTGCAGAAATAGTTTAAGAAATCAAGAATGTGCACATTCCGGAAAGGTCAGAGAACTTCTCCTTTGTACATCAATCTCCATCCTCCAAGTGGAAGTCTGTGAAACTGGACAGAAAATGTCCTCTCCTAGCACTCAAGTCACAAGAGTCAAAACCCTGCCAAGGCCTGTGTCTTCCTGCTCAGCCAGAAAGAGGCTGCCTAGGCCGCCTGTATTACCGATGCATTCAGACCCTGCACAGAAAAGCAGAGACGGCAGTGACTGTCAGCAGATGGGAACCTCAGCTAATCCGTTACATCTGCTCAGGGGTCTGGTCCAGTCCAGGGAAAGCGCCGCGCACACAGCAGCCAGCTCACTGTCAGCTCACGGTCACGGAAGGAAAATAATGCTTTCCGAAATCTAATTTCATCTCGGAAAGAAAACATCTCGTTGGAATAGAGATGACCTTGTGCACATTAGCATTCCCCACTCTGCCCAGGCAACCAACGGGGTCTAAGTGTCAAGACACATCCTCATTAAATTTTCAAAAGCCCAGACATCATGTCCTTGATGGCTTCCGCCTCTCTTTCCAATTTTCAAAACAGTCCACCTTGGTCTTGTCCTCTCCCCTAGAATCCACACAACTGACAAAGGTTCCCTGGCCTCAACTTCCCAAGGGCAGCTCAATTCCTTTTAGACTGATTAGTAACTTGCATCTCTGCTGGAAAAGGCACTCGAATGTTGTGTTAACGGTAAACTCTGAAAAAAATAATTTGGCTACCGCTTCAAGCTATTTGTCTTTGGGTAGAAAGGCTTTATACCCACTCAAGGTGACATCGGTATGAAGAATTATTACACGCAAGGTGTCTTCTATAGTAATAAAGAACTGGGTTGTTTTTATCTAGCTCTTCATTTTTATAGTACGTCCCTGACCTACCAAAAAACAAAAATAACTTTTTTTTTTTTTTTTTAATTTAAAAAGGTCCCCTTTGGAAGTTGGTCAGAGTCGGCAGTGTGCAGCTTGAAGTCACCAGGAAACTCCACCCTGGGGTTCAGAGTGTACTAACGGACAAGAAAAAGGGTGAAAATGACAAACATAAGTACAAAGAACATCTGTCCGTGATCACGGTCCTCCAAATAGAAAGTGAGCTCCTAGCCAGCAGCTAAGTGACAGAGTGAGTGCTAAGTGACATCACTGAGTGCCATGTGACCCCCAGGGCCTACCTGTGTGCACGCAAATGGAATTCTGCACTTTGACGTATAAGGCCTTGAGTTCTGGTCATTTGTTGCCTTTGTGAAAAAGCCCCACAAAAACCCAGTAAGGTCATTAGGTCTCGGCCGTGATGCATCACAGCACATCATGTCTTCTAACGGGATAATGTAGGCTCTAAAGTCAGATGGCCCAGGGGCTTCCATGTCTTGTCTGTGTGGCCTTGAACAGGTTGCTTCACATCTCTGTGCTCTACCTTCTGCATCTGAAATGGGACCACCACAAACTCTGCCCTGTACGTTCTGGGAGCTAGAACTACCTGCTACCGTATACAGGGCATGGTGCACAACAGGTGTCAGTCGATCCTCATCATCACCAAGAACAGAAGTATAGTGGGCGCCTGGGTGGCTCAGTCAGTTAAGCGTCCGACTCTTGATTTCAGCTCCGGTTGTGATCTTGCAGTGGTGAGATCGAGCCCCGCTTCGGGCTCTGTGCTGGCAGCGCGGAGCCTGCTTGGGATTCTCTCTCTCCCTCTATCTCTGCCCCTCCCCCACTCATGCTTGCGTGCACTCTCTCTCACTCAGCAATAAATAAATCGACATTAAAAAAGAAGAAGAAGTATAAAGTTTCCTCGCTCACTCATTCACAAGACCGGCAGAATCCGCGTAACGAGATGGGGAGGCAAAGCTGAATCTCAGTAAGGGCTCCCACTGTCACTGCCACCTTCTAGCTGCTGTCTTATCCTTCACATCTGCCTTCTGGAATGTTCCTTGCCATACACTCCATGCCCTCCGCTTGTGAATTGTCCCACACCTCATAGCTGAACGGACCTCTAAAGAACTGGGTTCTCACAGCCACAGTCCCGTATGTGCAGTGGTGTAAAGGAATCTGGGGACTCCGTGCTCTTCCTGTGATGTCACTTCATTCGTTCAACAACCCGTTTCTTAGCACCCCCACCAAGCAGGCCCCAGGGTTTCGACAGGAGCCAGCAGCCAATGACTTTTGATGATGGACATGTCAGACCTCAGCACCCAGGGTGACTGTAACAGCTTTGGAAACCTTTACTCCACCCCCTGGCAGGGGGCAAAGGCTCTTTTTCTCGGGGGGGGGGGGGGTGGAGGGTTAGGATCTTGTGTGCACACACATCACTCAAATACATCTCCCTCAGTAACAGATTAGTCATATAAATTTAATCGTTACAGATCTGCTTGATCAATACAGTTTTAGCATTTAATACATGCTGTTAAAGTTTATCACTGCGGTGCCCTTGGGTGAACTGCTAGTGTTTTGTCTCTCTCTCTCTCTCTCTCTCTCTCAAAATAAATAAATACATTAAAAAAATTCTTTTTTTTAAATAATGTAGTTTAGGGGCGCCTGGGTGGCTCAGTCAGTTAAGCAACTGACTTTGGCTCAGGTCATGATCTCATGGTTCATGGGTTCAAGCCTCACACAGGGCTCTGTGCTGACAGCTCAAAAATAAGTAAATAATAAAAACATTAAAAATTACAAAATAATGTTCTTCAGGGGCACCTGGGTGGCTCAATCGGTCCAACTCAAGCGTCCAACTCTTGATTTCCACTCAGGTCATGATCTCATGGTTCATGAGTTCGAGCCCTGGGTCAGGCGTCATGCTGACTGCTGACAATATGAAGCCTGTTTGGGAGTCTTTCTCTCTCCCTCTGTCTCTCTGCCCCTCCCCTGCTCACATTGTCTCTCTCTATCTCAAAAATAAATGAACTTTAAAAATTTTATGAAACATAAAATAATGTAATTTAGACAGACTTCTGATTCCAGAAAGATAGAAGTGTTTTTCTCTATTCCTCCCACTCAGTACAAGTCCATGGACATTGTATATGAACCAAACACAAGAAGATCCTGAAAGGAAACAAGGAGAGAGGGACTAGGCACCTTGGGACCCAAGGAGTGACATGATGGTGAGTTCCTTGGGTTTTCTTTCTTTCTTTTTTCCCCCCAATGTTTATTCATTTTTGAGACACAGAGCAAGAGCAGGGGAGGGGCAGAGAGGGAGACACAGAATCTGAAGCAGGCTCCAGCCTCTGAGCTCTCAGCACAGAGCCCGATGCAGGGCTCGAACTCACAAACTGTAAGTTCATGACCTGAGCCCAAGTCAGATGCTTAACCAACTGAGCCACCAAGGCACTTTGGGTTTTCTTTTTGCCTCAGAGATCCCAGACCTGAACTGGAGAAGCCAGAAACCCAGAAACACCAACCGGTACAGACAAAAAAAAAAAAGGAAAGAAAAGCCCCAACAAAAGCCTGCCCTCTCTAGCCAAAGGATCAGGAAAAGTGCAGCCTAGCAAAGCGGAAAACTTTTAGACAATAAGGTTGTACTCCAGCCAGCCGCACCCCGACCAATGTCAGCGAAAGGCTGAGTGGGGAGCCCAGACCTCCACCCTCCTCAGCCGAAAGGAGGTGTCCCAAGCCAATGCCTGCTCCCAGAATGGGATCAGAGAAGGCCAAGCAGGAAACCTGGACTTCATCCCAACCAGGCAGTAATGAAGGCCCCGTTTCCCCCCCACTGGGGTGATGTCGGAGAAAGCCTCAGAGAGAGTCAGGACTTTGACCAGCAGCAGTGACAAGGCCACCTGGCCCCTGAGTATCAGTGGAGGCCATGAGGGGAGCAGTCATGAGGTGCCCAGGGCTTCCCAGCCAGAGTGGTGTCAGCAGAGGCCTGGGGGAGCCAGAAACTCCATCTCCACTCCTCTGTAACCAGGTATTTTTTCCCCCAACCCAGGATGTCCACAGACACCAAGGGGAAACCTGCATTCCCGCCCCCACCCGCTAGTAAAGAGGAGGAATCCCACGCTTCCTTTGCTGGAGGTGTCAGAGGAAGAAGGCGTAAACAGAATATTTATCTAAGACTGCATAAAATACCGAAAAGTCCAGGATACGATTGGAAATCCCTCATCACACCAAATGGGATGAAAAAAGACAATTGGTATATGACACCAATCCCAAGATGACCGAGATGTTAGAGTCACTTGAGTAAGATTTTTGAAGCAGTCAGTAGAAAAATATTCAATGAGCAATTATGAACACGCTTGAAACAGATGCAAAAAGGGAGCAAAACATACAAAGGAAGAGAAGGTACAAAGAAGAACCAAACGGAAATTTTAGAATGGAAAAAAAAAAAAAAAAAAACGTTTTTGAATCAATGGATGGGGCGGCAATAGAATGGAAGTGACAGAGCTAACAATCAGTGAACTTGAAGACAGAGCAACAGAAATTATCCAGTCTGAACAGAGAGAAATTGGGCTATAAAAAAATGAACAGAGCCCCAAGGATCTGAACTGACATTCGCATCATCAGAGCTCTGGAAAAAGAGGAGAAAGAGGGCACAGTAGGAAAAGTATTCGAGATTAAAAGAAAAAAGAAAAAAAATAGGGGTGCCTGGGTGGCTCAGTTGGTTGCGTGGCCGACTTCGGCTCAGGTCATGATCTTGCGGTCTGTGAGTTCGAGCCCCACATCAGGCTCTGTGCTGGTAGCTCGGAGCCTGGAGCCTGCTTTGGATTCTGTGTCTCCCTCTCTCTCTGCTCCTCCCCTGCTTGTGCTGTCTCTCTCTGTCTCTCAAAAATAAATAAATGTTTAAAAAAAAAAAAAAGTATTTGAAAAATAGTGGCCGAAAACTTCCCAAGTTTGGCGAATGAAGTGAACCTACAGAGTCAAGAAGCTGAGCAAATCTCAAACAGGATGAATCTAAAAAAAGTGTTTTTTTATGGGCACCTGGGTGGCTCATCGGTTAAGCATCTTACTTGGGCTCAGGTCATAATCTCACGGTTCACGAGTCTGAGCCCCGCGTCAGGCTCTCTGCTGTCAGCACAGAGCCCACTTCTGGCTCCTCTGTCTCTTTCTCTCTCTGCCCATCCCCCACCTCCAAAATGTTTTTTTAATGTTAAAAAAGTTAAAAATTATGGGGCGCCTGGGTGGCGCAGTCGGTTAAGCGTCCGACTTCAGCCAGGTCACGATCTCGCGGTCCGTGAGTTCGAGCCCCGCGTCAGGCTCTGGGCTGATGGCTCGGAGCCTGGAGCCTGTTTCCGATTCTGTGTCTCCCTCTATCTCTGCCCCTCCCCCGTTCATGCTCTGTCTCTCTCTGTCCCCCAAAAAATAAATAAACGTTGAAAAAAAAATTTAAAAAAAAAAGTTAAAAATTAAAAAATTAAAAACAAGAAAAAAATTAAAAATAATTCTTAATGCTTTATTTATTTTTGAGAGACAGAGAGAGAGAGAATGAGTGGGGGACAGACAGAGAGAGAGGAGGACAGAGGATCCAAAGGAGGCTCTGCCCTGACAGCAGGGAGCCCAGTGCAGGGCTCAAACTCACGAACCTCGAGATCATGACCTGGGCCGAAGTCAATGCCAAGACACATCATAGGAGAACTTTGAATGTAAAGAAAATGGAAGAAAGCTTGAAAGCAGTGAGAGAAAACAACACCTTATGGTCTACATTTCTAACCCAATAAAATTAATTAATTAATTAAGTTTAAAGCTGGTTCTTTGAAAAGATACATAAAATTGACACCTTTCTAGCAAGACTGACCAAAGAAGGGGTAATTAATGGGGTGATCAAGGTACACTATGGACATTACCCACTCTTATATTTGAAAACTTAGGTGAAATGGATCCATTCCTCAAAAAGTGAAATATGTCACCACTCATCCAAAATGAAATGGATAATTTAAAGAGCCTATCACAGGGGCGCCTGGGTGGCTCAGTTGGTTGAGCATCGGGCTCTTGATTTCGGCTCAGTTCGTGATCCCGGGTGGTGAGACTGGGGCCCAAGATAGGTTCAGTGCTGAGCAGGGAGACTGCTTGAGATTCTCTCTTTCTCTCTCTCTCTCTCTTTCTCTCTCTCTCCCTTTCTCTCTCTCCCTCCCTCCCTCCCTCCTTCCCTCCTTCCCTCCCTCCTCTCCTCTCCCCTACTCATGTTCATTCTCTCTCTCCAAAATAAAATAAAACTAGAAAAGCATTAAAAAAATTTTTTTAAATGTTTATTTATTATGGAAGGAGAGAGAGACACAGGGCACGAACAGGGGAGAGGCAAAGAGAGAGGGAGACACAGAATCCGAAGCAAACTCCAGGCTCTAAGCTTCAGCACAGAGCACGATGTGAGGCTCGAACCCACGAACCGGGAGATTGTGACCTGAGCTGAAGTCAGAGGCTTACCCAACTTAACCACTCAGGCGCCCCACTAAAATAAAATTATAAAGAGGCTATAACAATTAAGGAAACTGAATATATAATTTTAAAACTCCTAAAAAAAGAAATCCCCAGGCCCAGATAGTATCAGTGGAGAAGTCTACCAAATGTTTAAAGGATAAATATCAGGGGCGCCTGGCTGGCTCAGTCAGTAGAGCATGCAACTCTTGATCTCGGGGTTGTGAGTTCTACAGTCTATGTTGGGTGTAGAGATTACTTAAAAATAGAATATTTAAAAAATAAGAAATAAAGGATGAGCTTCAATCCTTTTCTTTCAGAAAAGACAAGAAGAACACTTCCCAATTTAATATATAATGCCAGTATCACCCTGTTCCCAAAACTAGACAGAGACAGTATAAAAAAGGGACAATTACAGACACTATCCTTCCCAAACATAGATACGAAAATTCTTACCAAAACACTGAAAATATAATTCGGTAATATATAAAAAGAACTGTAATAAAAATGAAAATAAAGGGGCGCCTGGGTGGCTCAGTGGGTTAAGTGTCTGACTCTTAGTTTCGGCTCAGGTCATGATCTCACAGTTTGTGGGCTTGAGCTCTGCATTGGGCTCTGCGGTGACAATGCAGAGCCTGCTCAGGATTCTTTCTCCTTCTCTCTCTGCCCATACCCCCCGGTCAAACACACTCTCTCCCTCTTTCTCTCTCTCTCTCAAAATAAATAAATAAACTTTAAAAATAAAAATAAAACGAATTGTACACCAGGATCAAGTGAGGTCTATTCCCGGGATGCAAGGCTAGTTCAAACAGTCACAAATCAATCAATGTAATCTACAGGCTAAGAAGAAAAATCACATGATCACTTCGATGGATGCAGAAAAAGTATTTGATAAAATTAAATACCCACTCATGATTTGAAATACTCAGGCACTAGGCATAAACAGGGACTTCTTCAACGTGATTTTTTTTTTTTTTAATCTACAAAAACCTATAGCTCCCAGCACACTTAATTTTGAAAGACTGATGCTTTTCCCCTAAGACTGGGAACAAAGCCAGGATTTCATTCTCACTGCTGCCACTCAACATAGCACTGGAAATTCTAGCCCACACAATAAAGCAAGAAAAGAAATAAAAGGCCTACAGATGAAAAAAGGAACAAAATTAAAGTGTTTCTGTTTACAGATGACAGGATCGTCTACATAGAAAATTCCAAAAATCTCCAACAACTTATAAGTAAATCCAGCAAAGTTGCAGAATTGACATAAAAATCAACTGTGTTTGTATCAGCAAAACTAAAAGGCAACCAACAGAATGGGAGAAGATATTAGCAAATGACATATCAGATAAAGGGTTAGTATCCAAAATCTATAAAGAATTTCTCAAACTCAACACCAAAAAAAATAACCCATTGAAGAAATGGGCAAACAACGTGAATAGACACTTCTCCAAAGAAGACACACAGATGGCCAACCGACACATGAAAAAATGCTCCACATCACTCATCATCAGGGAAATACAAATCAAAACCACAATGAGATACCACCTCATACCTGTCAGAATGGGTAACATGAACAACTCAGGCAACAACAGATGTTGGTGAAGATGTGGAGAAAGAGAATCTCTTTTGCATTGTTGGTGGGAATGCAAGCTGGTGCAGCCAATCTGGAAAACAGTATAGAGGTTCCTCAAAAAACTAAAAATAGAAGTACCCTACGACCCAGCAATTGCACTACTAGGCATTTATCCACGGGATACAGGTGTGCTGTTTCAAAGGCATATGCACCCTGATGTTTATGGCAGCACTATCGACAATAGCCAAAGTATGGAAAGAGCCCAAATGTGCACTGACTGAGGAATGGATAAAGAAGATGTCTATATATACAATGGAGTATTACTCGGCAATCAAAAAGAATGAAATCTTGCCATTTACAACTACGTGGATGGAACCAGAGGGTGTTATGCTAAGCAAAATTAGTCAAAGACAAATATCATATGACTTCACTCATATGAGGACTTTAAGACAAAGAACAGATGAACATAAGGGAAGGGAAACAAAAATAATATAAAACCAGGGAGGAGACAAGCAAGGAGAGACTCATAAATATGGTGAACAAACAGAGGGTTACTGGAGGGGTTGTGGGAAGGGGGATGGGCTAAATGGGTAAGGGGCACTAAGGAATCTACCCCTGAAATCATTGTTGCACTAGATGTTAACTAATTTGGATGTAAATTTAAAAAAAAAAATCAACTGTGTTTCTATCAACTAGCAAGGAGAGCATGGACAGTCCCTCGCTACATTGCCACCAATGAACCCCTGCACCTTACAATGCTCCCCG